TGTTGCTGCTGCTGCTGCTGCTGCTGCTGCTGCTGCTGCTGCTGCTGCTGCTGGTGGGAGGCAGGCAGCGCCGCTGCTGCTGCTGCTGCTGCTGCAAGTTGCGTGGGTTTGAGGGAGTGTTGGGGATGCTCCTGCTTCCCAGCACCTTCTGGGTGAACTGAACGCCCTCTGCTGCTGCTGCTGCTGCTGCTGCTGCTGCTGCTGGGGAGGTGGGGGTGAGGACTGCAGCAGCGCTGCTGCTGCTGCTGCTGCAGCAGCCGCTGCTGCTGCTGCAAGTTGCGTGGTTTTGAGGGAGTGTTAGGACTGCTCCTGCTCTCCCGCCCGCCCTGGACGCACCGCACACCCTCCGCTGCTGCTGCTGCTGCTGCTGCTGCTGCTGCTGCAGCTGCTGCGGGGGATGCTGTGCGCGGACTTGATAGGGTTTCACTTTTTCGAGTACGCGCGGCACTTCCTCGTGACCTGCAAACGCCTCCTCGGGCTCGACCACTCTTTTCGCCGCGGCGGCCTTTTGGCCATCGACTTCGGCGCCCGCAGCGTCTTCGTCCGCGTCGGCCACGTCCACGTGATGTTCGCGAAGCTGCAGCAGGCGCTGGCCAGCAGCAGCACGCCCGCGCAGGCAGAACGTATTAGGTAACAGTGCATGCAAGTGCATGCATGCAAGTGCATGCATGCAAGTGCATGCATGCAAGTGCATGCGTGCAGGCATGCATGCAGGCAGGTGCATGCAGGGATGCAGGCAGGTGCATGCAGGGATGCACGCAGGTGCATGCAGGCAGGTGCATGCAGGGATGCATGCAGGTGCATGCAGGGATGCACGCAGGTGCAGGCAGGCATGCATGCAGGCATGCATGCAGGCATGCATGCAGGCATGCAGGCATGCATGCAGGGATGCGGGCTGTCTTTTGTCTCTCATTTATTTATTCGTTCTATTATCTGTTTGTTTGTTTTGTTTTTTATTTTATTTTGTTGCGCTTTTGGGGTTTGTTTTCTGAAATTCAGACAAAGACATAAAGGAAAATTCATCTTCGGCTCCGTCGACCGCTGCGAACCTCTCGCCGGCCTGCAGCTCAAAATTAGGGCTTTGGACCGTTTTCTCGAGTCTTATGAATACGCCAGGGTAAACCCTAAACCCTAAACCCTAAACCCTAAACCCTAGCTGCCTTAAAGGGCTTTAGACCGTTTTCTCGAGTCTTATGAATACGCCAGGGTAAACCCTAAACCCTAAACCCTAGCTGCCTTAAAGGGCTTTAGACCGTTTTCTCGCGTCTTATGAATACGCCAGGGTAAACCCTAAACCCTAAACCCTAAACCCTAGTTGGGAGTGTTTGAAGGAGGCTATTTTGTCGAATTTGGGGTGTTTTTGGGTGGCGTTTGTGGCTTCTGAGTCTGTGTTGAGTGCTGCGTGTGGCTGGGGGGTCCAAAAGGGTTTTTGAAACCTCCAAGTTTCTCTTTTTTGCACAAACAACTCAGGGAAAAATAGTTCTCATCCAATACGCCTACCCCGTGCGGAGTTGGGGGCGTTCGGACGCGGCGGAGCTGGCTGCGCAGCTGCAGCGGCTGGTCGACGCCGTCAACGCCAAGTATGCAGATTTCGGTGAGTTTTGTCTTTTTTTTGTTTCTTTTTTTGGTTTTTTTCCCCCTTTTTCCCCCTTTTAACTCCATTTTAAACCTCTTCTTTCTCCCTTCTTCCTCTTTTATTCTTCGCCACTTCAAAACGAACTTTTTGAACTCGAAAAAAGTCCTTTCGAGCTTTTTTCGCCTTTGCCCCACCCCGCGGCGCAGCAGGCGCGGGCGCGCGGCGGCGCCCCACACATTCATAATAAACTAATTAATTAATTAATTAATTAATTAATTAATTAATTAATTATTAATAATAAATAAATATTACATAAATAAATAATAAATTAATAAATAATAAAATAATAAATAATAATGAATGAGATGGGGAAAGAGGGGTCTGAAGTGGAAAGAGGGGTCTGAAGTGTAGGAGTTGGGTGGAGGGCGGGGCCGTTTGGAAACCCTGGGGGGTGGCGATTGGGGAAACCCTAAATTAGGGTTTGCGTTTGCAGGGTTTCCGCACATCGAGTTGGTGGTGAAGGAGGTGGAGTGGGAGGAGCGCTGCAGCCTCTTCATGGCCGCAGATTGTCTTCTCGATACTTGCATTCGAGATGGTTTAAACTTAAACCCTTTTGAATACTTTTGCTGCAGAGAGCAGCAAACCCGAACTGCTGTTATTCTCTCCGAGTTCACCGGATGCTCCAGAGCCCTCGCCTCCCCCATTCGCGTCAACCCCTGGAACGTAGGCAGCAGGGTTTAGGGTTTAGGGTTTAGGGTTTAGGGTTCAGGGTTTAGGGTTCGGCATTTATTGTTCAGTGTTCAGTTTCCAGGTGTTCCTTGTCCATTGTTCCTTGTTCTTTGTTTAGGGTTTAGGGTTTAGGGTTTAGGGTTTAGGGTTTAGGGTTTAGGGTTAGTGTTCAGTGTCGAGGGTTCGTTGTTCCCCGTTCCTTGTTTTTCATTCCCTGTTCCTTGTTGAGCGTCCAGAGTCCAGGGTGCAGGGCTGAGGTTGGGGCTTTGGGGTTTAGCGTTTAGGATTTAGGGTTTAGGGTTTAGGGTTTAGGGTTTGGGGGTTGGGGGATGCCGGGGTGGCTTTGCGCTTCTTGCTTTTTGCTGCTGTTGTTTGTGTTTCATTTTTATTTCTTTTTGGAAATGAACTTATTTTTAATTTTGTTTTATTATTTTTAATTGTTTTTAATTGATTTGATTTTTGCAAATTCTCTCTTTGGTGTTAAATTCGGAAAGAGGAATAGAAGGGAATAAACAAAAAAGTGAAATGGATTTTCTTGAAATAAATAAAAGAATTAAAATGGATTTAATTGAAGTAGACAAAAAGAGTTAAGTGGATTCAATTGAAGTGATTAAAAAGATTAAAATAAAGTTAACTGAAATAAAAAGATTAAAACGAATTAAATTTGAATAAAAGAATAAAATGAATGAAATTAAAATAAAAGAACAAAATGAGTTAAATTAAGATAAAAATAAAATGAATTAAATTTGAATAAAAGAGTAAAATGAATTAAATTAAATTAAAAGAGTAAAATTGGATTGAATTCAAATGAGGAAAATACTTGAACCGGGCGCAAGTGGAAAAAGTGGACTTTTGTTTTGTGCCGTTTTCGCTCGTTTTTTGGCTTCAAAAAAGTGGACTTTTGTTTTGTGTCGTTTTCGCTCGTTTTTTGGGATCCAAGTGTCATTTTTTCTGGATTTTTTTCTGAATTACTTTTCGAAAAGTTGAAAAGACAAATAAAAGAGAATTTGGGGTTCAAAGGGCGTTTGAAAAGTTGGAAAATTCGCGGAAAGCGGCGAAGTGCGCGCAGGCAGAAGAACGGGGAGCAGTTGTTCGCCGCGGGCCGCCCGCCCTCCGCCCAAGTCCAGCGCTGTTTAAAAGCTCTTTTGCAAAATCCAAAAAACACAATTGTCATTTTGAGTGGCCGAGACAGAGGCCTTTTGCAGGACTGGTTTCGAGATGTCAAGGGCATTGGACTCTGCGCGGAACACGGTCCGTTCCCCTTTTTTTCCCGCTTCTAGCCCCTTTCTAAACCCTTTTTTAGCGAGTTTGGCCGGCCCTTGAGGCGCTTTTTAAGCTCCTTTCTTGGCCCTTTCTAAACCCTTTTTCAGCGAATTCTGGAGGTCTTTGAGGCACTTCTTAAGCTTCTTTCTAAGCTGCTTTTAATCCCTCTTTAAACCCCTTTTCAGCGGGTTTTAGGGATCTCTGAGGCACTGTTTGAACTCTTTTCTAAGCTTCTTTTAAACCCTCTCCAAACCCTTTTTCAGCGAGTTTTGGGATCTTTGAGACACCTTTTAAGCTTCTTTTTAAGCTGTTTTTAATTGTTTTCTAAACCCTTTCTAAACCCTTTTTCAGCGAGTTTTGAAGACATTTGAGGCCCTTTATAAATTTTTTTGAGATTTTTTTGATTACTTTGTGAACCCTTTCTAAACCCTTTTTCAGCGAGTATCATTTTGTAAACCCTTTCTAAACCCTTTTTCAGCGAGTTTCAACTTTCGCCGCTCACGAGAACTTCAAATTATGATTTTTCGGGTCATTTTTTTGCTTTTTTTTCGGTTTTTCTCGAAATAAATATCAAAACTGGAGTTGAATTCGACTAAATCGATTAAAACGGAAGAAAAGGGTTTTTAATTCCGCTTTTTAGTCCCTTTTTGTCTTTTTAGGCTACTACTACAGACTCGACAAAATCACTGGAGATGAGTGGGGCTGCATGTGCCCCGACGCGGACTTCGCCTGGAAGTCCGTGGCCATGGAGTTGATGCTGCAGTACGTCAAAAGGACCCAGGGCTCTTTCATCGAAAACAAAGTAAACCCTAAACCCTAAACCCTAAACCCTAACCCTAAACCCTAAACCCTCAGCTGGGGGTCCCACACGGCCCGGGGCGCCGGCTGCGGGCCAGGCGCGCAGGCGCCACGAGCCAGGGGACCCCCGCAAACCCTAAACCCTAAACCCTAGCGAGCCTCAGGCGCAAACCCTAGCAAACCCTAAACCCTAGAGAGCTCTGGAGGGCTCTTGGAAACCCTGCGAAACCCTAAACCCTAGAGAACACGAGAAAGCGAGTTTGCTACAGCAAACCCTTTTAGCCTCAAAAACACCAGAAACCCTAAACCCTAAACCCTAAACCCTGAACAGGCAGAACGCGAGGGAACCTAAACCCTAGGCAACGCCTGGGAACCCCAATAAACCCTAGAATAAACCCTCGAAAACCCTAGTACACCCTTGTAAACCCTAGGATACGCTAGTAAACCCTAATAAACCCTTCTAAACTGAATTAAGCCCTAATTACGAACCCTAAACCCTAGAAGGGTCCGTTTAAACTTCCAAGTATAAAATGCAGCTAGAAAACCCTCGGGTGACTTCACTTCTGCGCATTTACTTCACTTATATTTATATTTCATTATTATTTATTTATTTATTTTTATTTATTTATTTATTTATTTTTATTTTTATTTTTTTAAATACATTCCTTTGTTGCTTTCTAGGGAAGTGCCCTGGTATTTCAGTACAGAGACGCAGACCCCGACTTTGGCCAGCTGCAGGCCAAAGACCTCTCCAGCCACCTGAGGTAAACCCTAAACCCTAAACCCTAAACCCTAAACCCTAACTCTCAAGCCGCAGCGAGTGCTTCACCCTTAGCTGCACAGAACCTCCACTGACTCACAGACGAGGGCTTAAGCACGAGGGCTTGCGGTGCACGGCTCAAAGCTTGAGGGTTTAGGGTTTAGGGTTTAGGGTTTTGGGTTTTGGCAGAACCCTGCGGTTTAAAACCCTCTTTAGAGAGCGCAAAGTGACACTTTTTCCAGATTTTCGATTGCAACATGATTAAAATCCTTTTATTTGATTAACTTTGATGAATTCTGAATAATTGCAATTAATTTAAATTCTTTTTTTCGATTTTTAGCGAACTTCTCTTCGGATACCCCGTCACAGTGGTCAGCGGCAAAGGCTACGTGGAGGTGAAGCTCTTGGGGGTAAATAAGGGGCGCGCGGTGGAGCGCATTTTGCGGACTTTGTCGACTTTGCACGGAGACATTGACTTCATTTTCTGCATTGGAGACGACAGGTAATTCTTTTATTTCTTTTTCTCGATTCCGGGCGAAGATAGGGTTTTAATGGTCTTTTAGATCATTTAATTCTCTTTTAAATGGTATACTAAAGTGCCCAAAGCCTCAAAGTGGCGTTTTTATTTTCGAGTTTCTTTTCAAATGTGAGACGCTTCTCGATTCCGGGCGAAGAAAGGGTTTCAATAGTCCTTTAGAGAATTTGATTTTCTTTTGAATGGCATATTACAGTGCCGAAAGCTTCAAAATTGCCTTTTAATTTTCGTGCTTCTTTTCAAAAGCAGATCTTTTCTCTTTTTCTCAATTCCGGGCGAAGAAAGGGTTTAAATGGCACTACAAAGCTTTTAATTCTCTTTTGAATGATATATTAAACTTCTTCAAGTCCTCAAACATTTCTTTTAAATCTTCTTCAAAACTTCTTATTTACGCCCCTCGAAGTTTCGTGTTTGCATGCCTTTGGGTCCTTTTTGCACCATTTTTGGTCATTTTTTTCTGATTTTTCCTCCTTTTTAGTCCACTTTTGTTCTTTTAAATAGTTCGCGACTCCTTTCAAAGACTTCTTTTGTTTTTTGAGTCCTTTTCGTCGTTTAAAGTCCCGTTTTTCCGCTTTGCAGGAGCGACGAAGACATGTTTGCAGTGGTGAACGTTTGGAACTCAAGCGAGGGCTCTCAAGAAGGCCCCAACGCCTCTTCTGTGATAAGCCACAAAGGCTATATAGAGCAGCGGCCTCCGCCGCAGGCTTTGCCTCGAGGGGGTGGCATTTCAGTGAGTTTTTTATTTTATTTTCCTCTTTTTCAGTTTTAAATTGCAACTTTTTCCCCCAGTTTGGCCTTTTTGCAAGCCTGCAATCCCCTCGTTTGCTGCTGCTGCTGCGGTGCTGCTGCTGCTCCTGCTGCGGCTGCGGGAGAGCGCCTGGTTGCTGCACAAAGGCCATCGCAGCAGCAGCAGCTGCTGCAGCAACAGCAGCAGCAGCAGCAGCAGCAGCAGCAGTTTTTTTCGAGCGATTTTACCCTTGTTGCCTCCTTACTTAACTGTTCTGCAGTTTGTTTTCTTCATTGTTTTGTCTTTTCTGTTTACTCTTCATCTCCTTTATTGTTTGTTTTATTGTCTCTTTAAATTTTCTATTTTTATTTTTATTTTTCGAAGTTTTCTTCTTCTTGTGTCTCAGCTGCAACATTTCGCTTTGTTTTTCCCACTAAGTATTTATTATTTATTTCATTCACTTACTATTTTATTTATTATTTTATTTATCATTTATTTATTAGTTTTTTATTTTTAGGTTTTATTATTTATTATTTATTATTTTTAGGATTTATGATTTAAAAGTATTTGTTGTCTTCCCTTCATACCGCTTTTACTTATGGCATTTATTTACCAATTATTCCCTTATTTATTATTTTTTATTTATTTCAATTTAATTGATTTAATTATTTAATTAATTACTTTTATTTATACATTTATTTATTTATTTATTTATTTATTTCTTCTGCAGGCCGACGAGGGGCCCCCCAGCACTGCTGCTGAGGCGGAGGGCCCCTTGGCTGGTTTGTCAAAGGGGGTGGGTTTTTAATTAATTTTAAATTTAATTAAATTAGTTAATTATTTATTTATTTTAATTATTTAATTTATTTAGTTCTTTAATTATTTAATTACTTAACTCATTTAATTGTTTAGTTGTTTAATTTGTTTAGTTTATTTAATTCATCTAATTTACTAAATTTATTTATTTAATTCATTTAATTCATTTATTTCAGATCCAAACAAAATCAAAACACTTGACTTTGTTGATTCATTTTTTCGTTTTTGAGACTGTCTTCTTTTCTTTTTGTCTTTTTTTCATTTCTTTTCTTTTGCTGCATTTCAATTTTTCGTTTTTTTTGTATTTTTCCTTTTTTTCTTTTTGTCCTTTATTTTTTTCTTTTTTTCTCCTTTTGCTTTTTTGCTTATCTGTCTATTTGCAATTCCTGGATCTGTCGGCGTCTCTTCATGTTGCTGCCGCTGCTGCTGCTGCTGCTGCTGCTGCTGCTGTTGCTGCTGCAGCAAATGAAGGAGCCCTATGTCTTTACCTGTACAGTGGGGAAGAAGCCGTCTCACGCCAAGTGAGTTTTTTACTTGATTGTCTTTTTTACTTTTTAATTTTATTTACTTTATTATTTATTATTTTATTTATTTATTTTATTTATTTTGATCCATTTTGCCATATTTCTTGTCTTTTCGCGCTGCAGTGGCTTTTCATCTCTTTACATATCTTTATTTATTTTTGTTTCCATTTCTTATTTTTCTTGTTTCATTACTTTTAATTATTTCTTTATTTTTTCGTTTTTATTATTTTTCCTCCATTTGGAATATTCATCTCCCCCAACTGAGCTTGACTTCGTTCATTCTCTGTTTTTATTTATTTTACTACTCTTTAATATCCCCGTATATTACTTGTTCATTATTCTTTATTATTTAATCATTTATTATTTATTTACTTATTTATTTACTTATTTATATATTTATTTATTTATTTATTTATTATTTTATTTATTTTTGGATCCCTTTTCCCTCCCGCCGTCGTTGCAGCCCAGCCCTTGAACTGCCCCTAAACAATTCTGTTTGCATTTTACAATTATCGATTTTTATTATTATTTATTTATTTATTATTTATTTATTATTTGTTTATTTATTATTTATTTATTTATTTGTTTATTTATTCAGATATTACCTCATGGACACCGGAGAAGTGTCGGACCTTTTGGGGGCGCTGCGGCTCGTCTCTGAGACGGTGCGTGGGGTGTACGTACACCTCAACTGCAGCAAAACGGTTTTCATTTCTTTCTTTCAAATTCTTTTGCTGCAGCAAAAAATATTTTGTGCTTTAAACCTGCTATTGCTGCTGCTGCTTCTTCTGCTGCTGCTTCTGCTGTTGGGTCTATATTGCTGCTGCAGTTGCTGCTGCTAGATGTGTGTGCGTCGCTCGCTGCTGCTGTCGCTGCTTGTTATTATTTGCTGCTGCTGCTGCTGCTGCTGCTGCTAGCTGCTGCATTGTGGGGGTTTGGGGCTCATGGTTTAACGAATCTAAATAGCACAGAGGCCTCTCGAACGCCTGGCACTGAAACACTTTTGCTGCTGTTGTTGCTGCTGTTGCTGCTGCTGCTGCTGCTGCTGCTGCTGTAGATGCCTCTGGGCGCGTTAATGCTGACTGAGCTGTACGTGTACACCAGTGCGTTTGAATTTTTTTTATTTGTAATTTTAATTGTGTATTTATTTTTATTTATCTATTTATTTATATTTATTTATACTTATTTATATTTATTTTGTTGTTTTTTATTAGTTTTTTTCTCTTTGTGTCTCGTAGTACGACCAGTTCCACCACAGCCAGTCGCTGGGGCCGCGGGCGTTTGCTGCTTCGACTGATGGGCAGCAGCAGCAGCAGCAGCAGCAGCAGCAGCAGCTAGATGAGGAGGAACAAGAAGAAGATGAAGAACAGGAGGCAATGCCCGCGCAGCGCCACCAGCACAGTCAGCAGCACCAGCAGCAGCAGCACCTGCGGGAGCTGGAGCAGCAGCGGGAGCTGGAGCAGCAGCAGCAGCAGCAGCAGCAGCAGCAGGCCTTCTGGTCCAGAAGCTCGAAGGCGGGTTTTGGGGTGTACGTACACCTCGCGCCCCCAGGCCACCTGCATGTACACCGCATGCATGCGCATGCATGCGCTCCGGGTGTACAGGGACTGGGGCTGTGCATGCATTTCAGGTGTACGTACACCTGCTTCGTGTGCCACCTTAGTACCCCTGACTGTACATACACTTGATGTGCCTGCGGACCTCTCCTGTACAAGCCAGGTGTGCATGCAGCAGCTGTACGTACACCTGGTTCGTGTGCACCAGCTGCTGGAGGCAGCTGTGCAAACACCGGGTGTACGTACACCTGAAGTGCGTAGAAAACCAGGTGCACGTACACTTGAAGTGCGTCGAAAATCAGGTGTACGTACACCTGAAGTGCGTCGAAAATCAGGTGTACGTACACCTGAAGTGCGTGAACATACCAGGTGTACGTACACCTGACGAAGTGCGCAAGCTTCCTCCTGTACACCTGGAAAGTGTACGTACAGCTGCTGCACTGGAGCTGCTGCAGCCCACACTTGCACCCCACACGCTTGCATGCATGCACGCATGCATGCATGCATGCACGCATGCATGCATGGGCGCATGCATGCACGCATGCAGCGCGGGCGCGGGGTGTACGTGGAGCTGGTGAGCGAGCGAGGTGTACCCACAAGTTGTGTACGTACACCCCAAACGGCTGATCGATCTGCAGCAGAAACGAAGATATTTTTTGCTTTTCTTAAACTCAGTTTCTTCTGTCTCAGCGGCGCTGCTGTTTTGCCTGGCCGAAACCCCAAAGAGCAGCTTCGCTAGCTGCTAGCTGCTGCAGCAGCAGTAGCTGCAGCAGCGCAGCAGCACCGTGTGGTGCTGAACATATATGCATTATACATATATATAAATATATATTTCTATTATATTCATTTATCTTTATATTAAAGGGGGATTTATTAGCAGCAGAGTCCTTTAAATTTGTTCTGGAGGCTAGATTACCTTCAGGGTCTGTGCCGAGAGCTGGCTGGGGCTTCCCGAGCGACACACAAATAATATTATTATTATTTCACAATTATTTTATTTTTAAATTTCCAACTTTTAAAAATAAGAACTAAAGGGATTTCGAGGTCTCGGCAATCAAAACAAACAACATAGGGACCAGTCAAGAAGCTAAAGAACAAAAAAAAGAAATGACGAACATTTCAACCAAAGTTTCTGTCCTGAAGTGTTCACTGAGTTTTTGTTATTTAAATTCAAGACAGAAAAAGATCTGCTGTGGGGCCGCGGCTGTGTCTGCGGCGAAGTGCAGAAAATCCGTTCGAAGGCCCTGACAATGAGTTTAAATGCATTAATTAATTTATTAATTAAATGCAATAAAAGCAATTAAATTGAATGCAATTAGGGGGAAATGTTTCGAGAAATTTGAACTAAGACAGACCCAGGATAAAGGCTAAATGTCCCTTAAAAATGAAGTACAGTGAGCAATCCACCAAATAAAACAAATGAATACTCCAGGTGCTTTGTATTCAGAAGCATAGTCCTTTATATTTCATAAACGCTGAAAGCCTGGGCCCCACAGCCGTCTGTAAACCCCCGAAAAGAGTTTAGTTCTATACTGGCTCACTTCGTAGCTTCCAGGTTTTAAAAATTGTTTCAACTATTTAAAAATTGAAGAAAACTTCGCGAGGAGCTGCAGAGTGCAGACAAATATCCTACGCAAGGAGCTGCTACGGTGTACGTACACCCCAGAGCACAAGCGGGAAAGTGCTGCTCACAGCTCTTGAGCTGTTTGTACAGCTCCTGGAGTTGGCAGCTAAATGCTTTTCTCTTTTATGACTTTTCCAGTTTTACAGAGAAGCCGAGAAAGCTCTCAGCTTGAAGGCTATTTGAGATATCTTGCTGCTTTTCTCTTTTATGACTTTTCCAGTTTTACAGAGAAGCCGAGAAAGCTCTCAGCTTGAAGGCTATTTGAGATATCTTGCTGGGGAGCAAGCATTGTCGTTTGCTGTTTGTTTAATTAAGAAGAAATTAAACCCTAAACCCTAAACCCTAAAAATGAAGAAGAGGAAGAGGCCTGCTCAAAAGAGCTCTTTTTTTCAAAGCTTTCTGTCCCAAACCCTAAAGCAGGAATCAGGGGTCCTAAACCCTAATAGCTCTTTGCCTTAACTCGCAGATAATGGGGGAAAAATTAAATCACAAACCCTAACCCCACGCCCCGCCCAACCGCTGCAAAGCTGCATAGGGAAGCCTCCGCGTGCTACAGATTCAGCTGGACTTGATTTATCTTTTAATTGTTTTCCTTTTTGCAATTCTGGAGTTACTGCGCAAATTGTGAAACACGAGCTAACAGCTTGCTCCCCGCAAAAAGCTCTTTCAGCTCCTTTCTTTAACAAATTGTGTTCCAATCAAATAGAACCAAATAGGCAAAGACTCAGCACAAGAGAAAAAGCTCAGCTTGACTTATTTTCTCAAGTCTGGGGCTTAGCGCTGCACTGCTTGGCCCTGACACAAGTTCAGGAGTTAACCACTTTTGTTTCCGAATGGACTTTTTGCCTTTTCAAACATTTTCGTGTTTCACAGTTTCGTGTAAGAGGAGCAGCAAGGGCCACTTCTGCGAGGCCTGATGGACTTCACTGGGCATTCAAAGAATATATAAAGGAAAAATCATGGTTAAAGTAATCAGCCGAAAATAAAACAGAGATTGAGAAGGATTTCGATGAGGGCAGCTCGGCCTGGGGACGTGATAAGTGGAAACAAATAGAATACATTCAGAAATAATCCGGAATAAGTCTACCCATTTAGAGGAGTATTTTCTAGGTGTTCTACAGAAGTACAAGAAAGCAGTAGCACACAGGGTAAACCACGAGTTTGGCATTTCTCTTTGGCAATAATTGGAAAACTAGTGTAAGCCACTAGGCTGCTTGTGGACAGGTCTGCTGCCAGCAAACATTAGAAGGCTGGACTAAATATGTGCATGCAGTGAGTCCTTTTCCCAGCAACACATTTAAATATGGGGGCCTTAAAGAGCCGCAGTTACAATATGCCTTCTTTTGTGAGGGAGTGCTTTACTCTTAGTCTATTAGTTCACTCTTGGCCTTCAGAATAAGTACTGTTTACAATGCTGTGTTGGGCTTTACAACTGAACAAACAAACAAAAGGGGCTTTTCGAAAGGGCCAGGGAATTTGCACCAGAAAGAAAAGGGCCATCTGCACTTCGCTGCTGGGCATCGCTAACGACTCCAGCAAGTGGAACTTAGAAATAAAAGGAAATAAAGTTAAAAATAGATTGGCAAACAAGTAAGATTTAGTGCAAAGAGATTACGGAAATCCCAGTGGAATGAGCCTGAATCACACGGAGAACAAAGCAAAGAGCTACAAATATGGCAGAGTAAGTAGAGAAATAAGAAACTGAAATAATAAGAACCACAACCCTGGAGTCTGGTAAAAGAGCAGGCAAGCCTGCAGGCATGTGCATTCAGCGATTAAGGGCAGCAGCAACTAATTCTCCTTGTCTTCAAAGAAATTGCCATTAATTTGATTGCATGTAAAATCAAGGTTTATTCGGGACCATAGAGGGATTTTTGATTAACTCTTTTAAATGCTAGTCTTAGGAAGCACATATGGGTGCCCAGTACTCTTTAGATACACTACTAAGTCTACACTTGCCTGCATTGGGAAATATTTTGAAGTCCATTATTTGCTGCTTTAGTAATATTATTATGGGCTTTCCCGCATCGCAGGCCATAATGCCAGAGGCCTTCAAAAGCTGTTGCTGGCGGAGGGCAGCGTGTGGTGGTAGAGACAAAATGTGCCAAAAAGTTTTCGGAACTCTTTCAGAATGCAGAATGTAGCTGAAGCTGTTACATTAGCCGCCAAGAACAAAGGATATTATGACCCTATTTTTGTCCTACTGCAAAATTGGCATATAAGGGAGCGAAGGAAAGTGATGCCATATATAGAGATCATCAGAAATTCAAAAGAGGGCTGCCTTTCAATTCAGATGGCAACGCAGTTTCTATGAAGGGCATCAAGAGGTGCATGCAGTGCGGGAACAGGAGCCTGAATTGGGCATAGGCGACAAACAAATTCTGTAAGCGTGCATACCTAAATAAGCATTAATAGTGGAAAAAGATTGCCCATAGTACCTGTCGAGTGCTCTTAGCTCTAACTGTTGAACTACGCGAAAACTGCGCTTTGGAGCAGCAGGGGAATTCCTGCATTGCAGTGTTTCCCTTGCAGCGTCGTATGGTGCAAAATATGTAGATTGGCGTAATAAGTTTAAGTCATTCCCATGCAGAGAAATTTAATCCTTTATCAAATTTAGTGTGATTTAGAGTCCCGCTCGCGGTGTGGGGCTGGAAGCAGGTTCTGAAGCTGCAGTGAGTGGCCCGGCCAAGGAAGTAATGGGATTCACAGAGGGGGACAGGCGTATCCCTTTGGACAATGGTGGTAAGATGGTTGGACTTTCTTGAAGTGCAAAGAGTCCCTTAAGTTAATAGCAGAAGGTTTGCAGGCGTATCCCTTTGGACAATGGTGGTAAGATGGTTGGAATTTCTTGAAGTGCAATAGCTTAAGGTTTGGATTTATATAGCCAGGATGGGAGAGATGCGCAAGAACTATGCGAGGCTCAGCTCACTATAATAGGTATCGCAGGAAGTTGCAACAATATCATGCCCAGCCCCGTAAGCTCCACCAATCACGCTGATAGTGGAATAAAAGCCAAAAGCACACATCAAGAGGTTATTCTAGGAAGCGTGTTCAACTTCGGAGCAGTTGCATTACTACAGTGGTGTCGCCTCATACTGGTTTCATGAAAGCAAGAGCAATGCTCAATTTCAATTCTTTGAGAATGCAGAGTCTTTCATTCCTTACCATGCGTTTTCACAAAACATACAATAAAGCAGCCTCAACGCAAAAGCCTATTCACCTGCTGTCAATACGAAGCAAGCGGAAGACAGTGCAGAGTTGATAAGGCCCTCTGCACTGCAGAAAATGTCCATGAAAGCAATTGACGTTTTGTGAATTTATCTTGTTGTTTCTTTGTCGGTATCCTGTCCAGGCTTATGCAGACGAAACTATGCATTTCCTTAAACCGGACTTGTAGCTTAGATCCTATTATAAAAACGCATACTAGAATTAGAAGAAAAACCCGCTCCTTATAGCGCTTGCCACCGGAAGCCGTAATATGCTTGCATGCTGTGAAATAGAAAGTGAT